GGGGGGGGTCGGAGGGTCGGACTTGATGATCTACAAGGTCCCTTCCGACTCTATTTCTATGAATATTAGAACTGGAGAAGATGCATAGACAGTAGGGTAGAAGGGAAATTGTCAAATAGTCTGGGGCAAACAAAAAAAGATCTGATAGTTGTGTGTTGTCTGATTACTTCTTAGATCAGGAATCATGTTTTCCTGCATGCACGGGTAATAGACAGTAGACCAACATAACACCAATAGAAACACTAGCAATGTAGATAAACTATGGCAGAAGTGTTCAGCCACCTTGTTGCAGCCTCAGTTTATATTACTTCTCCCACCCAGAACTTGGTCACCATAAATCCCATTTTAGAGGTTTTTCCAATCTTCAAATCTCACTAGTATAATCATATGGAGCCTTGCTACTATAAAGCTAAAACCTTGGATCTATCATGACTGAAATAACAAATTGTTTCTTACTGTCAAATGTCTCATACCATGTAATTTTGGTCCCTGGACAAGTCCTGATGGATAAATGCCACTTATACAAGCACCGCCACTGGTAGGGTCAGCAGAGAAAAAAAACAAAAAACCCACAGTTCTAGTACTTATGACCAAGTTAGAGCTTCCTCTTATTTAAGAGACTTGAAACACATTGGCAGGGGGTATAGGAAGGTTTCTCTTTTATAGTCATCTTGTGTCATTATCATTAGTACTGATGTACTTCATCAGTGCCAGTTTATCAAAGACTGCAGAATAAAAATTTCCAGTATTCCTATTTGAAATCAAGCAGTTTCTGGGTCATACATAGTTCAACTCCCATTCAAATGGCTAGCAAAAAAAACAAAAGTTAGAAAGACTGGTTACATCATCCGCTCAGTCCCTTGCCTGTGCTCTCATCCAATCTAGTTCTCCATTCAAGTGCTAAGACTGCTACCATTTTTCATAAGTAGCAATTTAGTTTGATGTGGAACATCTTAATCTATCACTAACCTGGAATTCCCCCCTTTCAATGGAATCTCATCCTATTATTCCCTGAAGAACTCTGAATATTTCAATCCCTCAAATACATGAGGGATTATCATGCTCCCTGCCTCTTTTTAAAATCACTTAAAATAGATCAATCTAGTCAAGCCTTGTTAGTTCTTAATCTTTTTTTCATAACATAAAACCTGGTCTCTCCTCACCTCTCATTGCTCTTATCAGATTAATTTTTGCACTGTTAATATACTGCAAGTCCAGAACTAAGTAGTTTGCTTTCAGTCACAATGGAAGAGTAAAACAAAAAACAAACAAAAACAAAAAAAAAACCCCAAACTGTAATCCATTTTCGGGCACATTTATACCAACGGAAGAAGAGTGGTGTACAGATGACAAACATAAGAACTGGAATAGTTTTGCTTAAACAGGTGGAAAGTTGCTCCTGAAAGAAGCAGGTGTTAAAACCACCAAAACTATAGCAATTCAGATCTGCTCTCATGTATCCCAAGGCAAACATTTACTAAATAAAAAAGTTATCACCTACTCTGGCTCAGCTTTTTCTACAGAGATGAATCAGTTCACAAATCTAGAGAAAAAACATTTTTGCTTGTTTATTTTGTGTTTAACATATACCCCTTTCATCTTTTTAAAGAGAAATGAAGTTACCTTGAACCAGAGCGGGGCTTTAGGTTTGTTAGACTCCTTTAGGCATATTGCTTATAAATCAGGGAATATGTGCACACAAATTTAAAAAAAAAAAAAAAAAAA